TTAAATACATTGAGAAAAATCTATGGAATTCTAGAGGTATTTTGTGATAAAACTCAAGATGAGATAAAATAAATGTTGAAGATACTACCTGATCCTTCTGAATTCTCATTTCATCAACTTCACTTTCAGCGTACTGAGGGTCTCTTGCAGGGTCCTTGGTATCTTTCAGCATGTTGATACTCTGAAATTACAGTTCTTCAAGTCATTTCATGCCCGTACCCCCAAACAGTCAACAACTACCATCTGCCTCAGCCAGACTCTCTATGGTCTTTTGAGGTTTTATCATCACTGCTGAGGCCCACTTCAGATAGTACCAGGCCCGCTCCCTCCCTCTCTGTCCAGCTGCTGTCTCCCACTTTGCCAGCAGCCTGGGAGCTGAATTTGAAGAGCTGTGTCTTGCTCATCTTTTAAAACCCACAGTGCCTTGTGTACAATAGATTTTTGGCACACAATTTTTGAGCATGCCAGAATAGAAAACAAAGTAATCATAATAGGCTCATTGGAACATTTCCTAATAACAGCTGAATAATGCAAAAAATTCTTGCTTTAAAAGAATTATAAATCTTTACCTTTGGTGGAAAGACCCTTTCATACACTTTTTTCCACAACTCCATTGGTGAATGGGCATGAAGCTTTCCAATGTCATTATCAGGAACAGGAGGAGATCCTAAAATTGGAAATTATACACCAAATGACTGCACCGATTAAAACTTGACAAACTCTCAATAAAACAGATGACACTTACAAAAATACAAATCCTAGATCATTCATTTCCCTTCTCCCTAATATAGCCACTCTTAAAATTTACCCCAGCCCAGTGTAGCAAGGCCACAGATTCTAGCACCAGAGGAAGAGGAGACAAGAGTAATGAGTCAATTGTGATACTCTTTCCCCAGACTTACATTGCCACTCGGTGAAAATAGCAGGTTTGATATTCTCATGTGTTTATGAATTTGTAAGGAAACACTCTTATGTGCTACTCACTAAAGTGCAAATTGGGACAACTAATTCAGAGGGGAATGTGGCACTACTAACTGCCATGCAAATAGGAAAAAGGTTATATGCTATTACCCAGAAACCCCAGTTTTTGGTGTTTAATCTAGAAACACCTGCACACAGGTATTAATGTTTTCACACTGCAGCATCATTTCATTTGTATTAGTGAAAAACTGGCCACAACTAAACTGTCCATCAGTAAGCTATAGTGAACTAAATTACTATGCACAGCCATGCTCTGTAACCCTGCAGCAGTCAAAATACCAAATAGAACTAGGTGCAGCATTAATATGGAAAAACCGCTAAGATGTATTGAGTAGAAAGGGAAACTTTCAAAACAATAGCTATAGAATGATACAATTATGTTCAAACAAGTAGTTTTTTCTATATTGCATTCACATGTATAGAAAATAGTCTGGAAGTCTTATATGTACTATTTTAACATTTTATAATGAGAATGTCTTTATGTACTGATTGTGTACTTTAATATGAAAATTAATTTGAAAAAATGCTGCCACGTCCTGGCAATTGTCTATAATCTGAGATTTCTCATTCTTTCTATTCTAGCATTTACAATGTTGATCTTTCAGGACCTCCTTATCACTCTGGTGGGAAAGACAGTGATGCAATCCACCAATCTTATTCAGCTCTCCCAAGTTTTTTACTTGTCCTCGTTTGTGTGTGTGTGTATTAAGTTCTATACAATTTTATCATCTTTGTAGGTAAATGTATCCACCATCAAGATACTGCACAGTGCCGTTGTCTCAAGGATCCTCGCCTTGCCCTTTTATACCCACGCCACCTCTTCCCAATTTCCCCTCCTACTTCCCTGTGTACGGTCCTGTCCCTAACCTCTGATAACCATTAATCTTTCCTCCACTTCTGAAATTTTTTCATCACAAAAATTTTACATAAATAGAATCGTATTGTATATAACCTTTTCTGATTGGCTTTTTTTTCACTCAGTATAATTCCCTGGTGATCTTCATCCAAGTTACTGTGTGTTATCAATAGTTTGTTCCGTTTTATTGCTGAGTAGTATTCTATGGTATGGATATACTATACCATAGTAGAGAGTTTTAAACAACATCTGGTTGTTTCTAGTTTGGGGCTATTACAAATGAAGCCACCACGAACATTTGTGTACAGATTTTTATGTGAACGTAAGTTTTAATTTCTAAGATAAATGTCCAATAATGCAATTTCTAGGTCATATGGTAGTACATGTTTAGTTTTATAAAAAGCTGTCAAACTGCGTTCAAGAGTGGCTGTATCATTTTACATTCCTACCAGCAATGTAGGAGTATCCAGTTTCTCCATATTCTTGTCAGCATTTGGTGGTGTCACTTTTTTTTGGTTAGCTATTCTGATGAGCTCGTTGTGGTTTCCATTTGCATTTCCCTAATGATTAAAGATATTAACCATCTTTTCATATGCTTATTTTCCATTTGTATATCCTCTTTGGTGAAATGTCTGCTCATGTATTTTGCCTATTTTCTAACAGGATTTTGTTTTTACTGTTAAGTTCTTTATATATTCTAGATAATAGTCCTTTGTCAGATATGCAGTTGAAAATATTTTCTCCCAGCATGTAGTATGTCTTTTTATCCTTTTCAAATGGACTTTCAAGAGCAAAAGTTTTTAATCTTGATGAGGTCTAAGCTCCATGATTTTTAATTTCAGTTTCTCATTCCTTTTCTGACGTCCAACTACTTACGGGGGCATTATCTATCAGTATACACAGTGATTCTCATTGCTAATGAAATTAAGTCGGTGTTAATTATAAAAACCAGTCTTTGGGATCACTCATTAACCACTTCTATTCTTTTCATTCCAATTCAATCTGTAATCTCATTACAAAGATCTACATTTGAAGTCCTGTCAACTTTAGCATGTAAGAGTAATGATGGACGGGAAATAAAAACTATCTACTAGAGCATTAAAACCAAACTATGTCAGTCCCCGAGTAGAAAGAGTTGCTAGGCCCCCAAAAGATAAGGAGCTTGATTATATAAACCCTTAAAATTCTTTTTGCTTCATGAGCCTAAAAGTCTGTAAGTTTAGGATATAGATCCCATTATCTGAAGCAAACTATTTTCATAATGAAGAATTAAAGCGTACATAATTAGTACAACTGTTCTTTTTTGGTTTATTCCATCACACTTGAATCTTGTATTTTTCATCACTGCCCATGATATATAGCTTTCACTTTCCTGACCACTCTGTGCTTCTGGTTTTCTTCTAAACCCAACAAGCTAAAATTTAAAAGTACCTGGAAATCAGTGAGGGAAAGGAAATACGTGCAAAATTTTTTAGTGAAGTAGAGATCCGAAATCCGTCTCTTATGTGGCAACATTCCATCACAAATATGTCAATGTGATGCATGTTGCATCAATGCTGTGTATACAAAGGAATACATAAGAAATAGCAGCAATGATAATGAAATCAGAAATGGTGGTATGTTGGAGATGGAGTGAACACGGGATAGGGTGAAATCAATAAGCAATTAAAAAATTGAACAATCTTAATAAGTTCACCAACCTATTTGACTTAAAGAATCCAATCCTGCTGTGATAAACAGTGGTTTATTCTGATCCACACATATTGATTTGCTACATGGATAAGAAGAAAAAAGAGTCTAATTTAGTTTAGCAATCGAATATCCTGCCATGCTCTACTGTAAAGACAAGAGCCAAGTTTTACATCTAGCCACTGGTGAGAGAGCACTGTCCCCAAATGAATGAGTGAATATCTATTTAAGCTTTTTCAAAAATTAAAGTCTGGCATTAATAAAGTTTTATAGGGAAAAAAAGTGACAGACCCAAATTACTTTAAATGAAAACCAGGAAAAGTAGCAAGGTTAAGAAAAATACACATACTACAATGATCAATTTCTAATCAATATAAGAAAATGGTAATACAGGGAAAGCTACTAACGAGAGAAGTCAAATGAGTGAAATAGCTGTAATAGTATCATTATTTTATTCTAGTCTCAGACTGTTATAGAACATTTTAGTTATAAAATTTGAGAAATATTTAAATAAAAGAAACGAAATAATATGAAACTATTTCCCTAAGAATAACCATTTGGAGGCACTTTCTTATGAAGAAACAATAATTAGATGAGAACAATAATCAGATGAGATTATTTTTGGCAAAAAAAAAAAGTTTATCAGTACCTTTTGTCAATACCAAATGCTAACTGGTTGATAACTCCACGTATTTTTAGTAATAGAGCTTCTGATTTACTGGTAAACTAAAAAAAAGATCAGAATAAGTTATATACTCTGCTTTTAAATCACAGAAACAGGTAAAATAAATATGCCTTTGAACAAGTACAAATTGCAGACAGAATTATTACTTATTTGCCCATAGAACTATTTATTCTTCTGAGCAGACAGAAACCTGAATAAAGGAAAATTATCTCAAATTTGTTTTAACTCATCCTTCGAACTTCATTGAGTGCATGATATTAAAGGGACGTGTGTATGCACTAATCATTTCAGCTACTCCCACATATGGAACATAATTACTTCCCAAAAGCAGTCTGGCTGGTAGAAAATAGGAGGTATATATCATAAATAACTTTTCCATCCACGGACATATTACTGTCTTCCAAAAAGCCAGCAGGGAAGCTACAGACTAGTCCAACAATACTGATACTCATTAAAAAGATCTTTTAACTTCTTTTCAGAATTGCCCTTGAGCTTGCAAAGTAGCTACTAAACATTCTTAGTGGTGGTATGTAAGGAGGGTGACCATAACCAGACTTCAGGGAATGAAAGGGGGTGGGTACTATTAATAATTAAGCTGAGACCTCAGGTGAACATCAGGACACGTGATTACCCCACAAATCTTTTAAGACTAGATTTGATTTTTGGAAATATCAAAAGTTTCTCAGCCAAATCAGAATGGCTAAGATGTATAAAAGTGGGAAAAACAACCTTGAACGAAAATGAAAAGTAATTTTATAAGGCAAATCAATTTTCAGGATAAGATTCATTCTGGATTAAGGACAGGTTCCCAGGCAAAGTATTTACTCATGTAAATATATAAAATTTAATACATTGACTTTTCAAAACAAACATTTTTAAAACTTCTTTTAAACAAATTTAAAGATATAATTGAATTTTTAAAACACAACTTTATTACTATTATTATTTATGTTCCCTATGTGGAAAGGAAAATACCTCATCACAAATGTATTTTATAGAAGGGCTGGGAGGACGTGAGAAATTTTCTGACTCACCCCCCCACCCCCACCCCTTCTGTTGCATCAGCTGCCTTGAAACATCCTCCACAAATAGCTGTAGAGCTTCTGCTTGGATAAACTCAGTGGGAACTCATTATCTCCCAAAGCAACTCATTCCATTTTCAGATAATGGTAGTATTAGAAAGTTCTTTCTTATTTTGAGCTAAACTCTGCTCTACTGATGCCTTGTTCTTGACTCTGAGAGCGCAAAGAATATCTAATACCTGATCCTTTTTCCATGGAACAATCCTTCGAATATTTAGAGCATTACCACATTCTAGACGATAGAACATAATTTTATACTCCTCATATATCACATTTTTAAGTCTCATACCATCCTGGCAGCTCTCCACTGAATCTGGTCCTGCTTATCAATGTTTTTTTGTTTGTTTAAGATTTTATTTGCCCAGAGGAAAGACCCTGTGAAGACACAGGGAGAAGACAACCACCTACAAGCCAAAGAGAGAGGCCGAGAAGAAACCAGCTGTGTTGACACTTTGATCTTGAACTTCCAGCCTCCAGAACTGTGAGAAAATAAATTTGTTGTTTAAACCAAAAAAAAAAAGATTTTATTTATTTGACAGAGCACAAGCAGGGGGAGCCACAGGCTCCCCACTGAGCAGAGAGCCCAACCTGGAGTTCGATCTCAGGACCTTGGGATCATGACCTGAGCCGAAGGCAGACGCTTAACTGACTGAGCCACCCAGGCTCCCCTATCAGTTCTTCTATTTTTATTTTTATTAACTTTATTAGATTGCTCATAATAGTGAATCCATTTTCTTGACTAAATTAGAAAGGATCAACTAAAGGGCTAAAATAAAAACTGTTGAGGGGCGCCTGGGTGGCTCAGTCCGTTAAGCGGCTGCCTTCGGCTCAGGTCATGATCCTGGGGTCTTGGGATCGAGCCCCACATCCGGCTCCCTGCTCAGCGGAGAGCCTGTTTCTCCCTTTCCATCTGCCTGCCACTCTGCCTACTTGTGCTCTCTCTCTCTCTGTCAAATAAATAAATAAAATCTTAAAAAAAAAAACAAAAAACTGTTGAGTATCCATCAACCTTGTCAGGCAGCCCCGAACTGTCTCTCTTGAATGGGGGGTGGGGGAAAACCGGAAGTGAAATAGAAAGACGGGGCTTTGTAACTTTGGCTGCTCTCTTCTTGGTCTGGGAAGCTAGACAAGCTTTATGGTTCTCCTGGTCCAGAAGGGCTCCTCTAACTCAAACTCTCATCCCTCTAGCTTGCTGAAAGCTGAGGTGAAGCCTTTCTCAAATCCATTCCCTAGAAGACCCTGATCTTGTAGGGCCTTCTAGACCTGCCTGAGTTGATCTAAAATTTGTACACATAAGACCAGACTAGACCCTGACTGATCATCAAATGTGATCTGTTCCTAAAGAAACAGAGAGATTTCCCTCAGCTAAGTAACCAGAACTAACTGTGGGGCTTTATCTTGTGGTAAAAATAAGAAACTACAAGATTCATGGTCTTTGCTTCTGTATCCTGGATACATTCATTTTAAACTCCCCGTGTCTTTTTGAAACAGTAAAAAAAAGTATTTCCAAAGCACTCTGTCAATTTAATATATAAGCAGATACAGTATAAATGTAAAAGGTACTGATTTTTAGAAAAACACACAATGCAATTTATTTGGAGTATTCAGAAGTAAAAAAATTTAAATATAGATCATATTCATCACTTTTAGTCATAATATCGTAGCCATGAAGGCCAGGGACTAGACCGTGTTGTCTCCAGCTTCCTCTGAGCACTTTCATGTACCAGGAAAAAGAAACCATTCAAATGGGAAGATAGTATTTCTTTTAAATAAAAGTACTTTTATATTTTATTGCATCTAAGAATATCCTTTATCCTTTGTTCCTGCTGTGGAAGGTAAGGATAACAGTTATAATATAAGCAACACTGATCCAGGAACACTTTGTTTCAGACCCTGTGGTGAGCACATCACCTTAATCTCTCACTTATCCTCACAGCAACCCTATGAAGAAGGCACTGTCTTGTCCATTTTACCCTGGAGGAGACGGGGGCTTGAGTGAAATGACATGGCCTGTCTGAGATCACACATCTGGTAAATGGCTGGCATGAGATTTGAACCCAGGCACCAGGACTCTCAAGTTCATGGTTTTAACTGCAACAACAGTGTTGTTTTTTGTTTTTTTTTTAGTTTAAAAAAAGAACATATTGTTAAAGGGGTTTTTTTCCCCCCTCTTTTCTCTTAAGACAGATTCTAATTCTTGAGGGGAAATTAAAATGAATAATAGCCAGTTTATCTCCTTAAGACTGGGGCTTGGGGGTGCCTGGGTGGCTCAGTCAGTTGAGCATCTGACTCTTGATTTTGGCTCAGGATATGATCTCCAGATCATGAGATCGAGCCCCAAGTCAGGCTCCATGCTCAGCAGGGAATCTGCTTGAGATTCTGATTGGGGTTTATGGACATAAACAATTGCTCTGAAGACACTGTTGGCCATCTAGCAGAGTCCGTTCTAGAAATACATTATCAAACACTCTGTAACAAGAGGATTTGGGGGCAGCAGGAAAGGGAAGGAAGGGATTATGTGTACTAGTAAAAACATTAGTATTTATAACTGTGCATCAAATTGCTAATCTTTCTAAATTTGATGCTGTCCACTCAAGCCAAAGGATAGGAAATGTACGAACCATTAATGATGCTCCATGATAATGTGCAACAAATCGAAGGGTCTTGCATATAACCTTTCTCTTCTCAGAGTCAAAATCCTGAAGAAATATATTAAAAAGAAAAAAGTTGAGAAAATTAAATATCTGTAGCAGGAAGGTGCAAATTACTAAGTGTAGAAATACATGATTTCTTTCTTTCTTTTTTTGGGGGCGGGGGGGACATACCCTAAGGAGTAGGATTCCATGACCTTGATACTTGTTTCTATAGAGAGTTGGACAGTAGCTGAAGCTTTCTAGAACTACAGCTATCCGATCTTTTTTTGTTTAAACACTTAGTTCAATAGAATTTAGATGTGAGCACACATTTTATAGTGTGGAATACCCTAGGGATTCTCTGACAAAGATAAGAAGAAAACAATTTTCTACTTTCTTCAATTTGAAAGTTGGGAAGTCAGTCCTATCCCTCAGTGACTGGGTGAAAGATTCAGTTTCTCAATCTGCCTTATCCCCATTCGACTGCCTTATCCCCACTCCACTGTGTGTATTGTTCTTTACATATTTTCTCTTTCCCCACTATGTCTTCTTTTCCAAAATCTTTAAGATGTGTGACTCCTTGACCTCTCCCTCCCAGAGTCATTTTTCTTATTTCACTGTTATCTTTCTTCCCCTCCCATAAAGCCTGGCTATGCATAAACAACCACCTTAACTAGAAGTGGAAAAGCTTACCTGAAAAATATCGTATTTACTTCCAATTATGACCAGAGGTATTAGAAATGGGTCGACTAATTCACGATCCTGTTAACATATTTCATTGCTTTATTATTATAATTATTTAGTACTATGTATTCAGCAAATTCTATTTACTTCTAAAAATATACCATTTTCGTCTTTTCATAGATGTTGACTTTGTTTGCTTGACATAAAGGTTGTCCCAATTTTTAACTTTCACTTGTTATATTTCTCAAGTATAAAACTAGAAATGGCAGTTCCCTAAATTACCATATTTATTTGTTATATTCTGCCCTATTTTCTTAAATAACATGTCATCTGCCTGTTTTTGTTATTTACTATTTGGTATTCTCTTTTGTTGCCATAGCATCCACACTGCACAGATGGGAACCATAAGCTATCAGTTTCATCCTGGTATTCCCTATGTAAAACACATTCCTATAAAGCCTGGGCAATGTACGATACTGCTGCAGATTTTCTAGAAAATGATATTCATGGTTGTATTTAAAGACTTGTGTTACCATCGTTGCAACTTTATAATTTCATTAGTTGTCAGATGATCAAAAGATAACCGAATATGTGACAGACACTAAATGAATGTAAAATACAGACTGACAATAAGACTGAAAACTCTACTTGTGGCTTAAATTTGTAGTTTCATCTGCTCTTTGCCAGGTGACTTTTGTACAGTCCAGTTTTTTATCTTCATTTGACAGAGATTATAAAATCAATATCAAACTACTACTTCAAAACTCTATTTCTTTTGATTGGTATAATATGCCATAACAATCACAGTGGATGTCTAACAAGAAGACATGAGAAGTCTTTTTCCTTGTTTTGCTCTCACTGAGGTTTTATTAAATTGCTATAATTTTCCAGTGAACAAGTTCATCTACATCAAATGAATTTCAAATCATGCATAAAACTCTAAGGAAGTTGTTTGTGATGTTATCTTTAACTATGTATGGGGCTAAGGATTCTAGGAATAATCCCAACAGCAACTCACTGGATGGTTCTTCTGCATATTACTCCATATCTTCTGTCTCATTTCAGACGCTGCTTTAGAATTTGTCTTCCCCAGTTTCATTATCATTTTATCTACATGGTTTTTTGTGGCTTGCAACAGATTTTCCATGGTGGGCCAAAGGTCATTAGGTTTTGAAAGATCCAAAACAAGAACAATAGAAAATGTCCTAAAAAAATAAAAACACTTCTTAAAAAAGACTTCAAAATAACTACTGTTTTGAAACCTTATTATACTGAAATTTATTATCTAAGAATAACACTGTAGCTTAAGGATCAAATAAAACATAGCACTTTTCTCACACACACACACACACACACATACACACAGCCAAAGTTATAGCCTTATTAATTCCAGCACTTTTCCCTTGTGATAGTTAAGTGTTACAACCAGTAGTGGCACTGAAGGTTTTGTTTCTACTAAAAATAATCCAGTTCAGATAATCTGCAAGCAATCGGGTACAACAATGTGGTGATTAGATCCAAGTTCACCGTGTCCTCCAGAGAAGGGAAGGGAATAGTGAGCGCACAGCACTAACACAAGGATGAGGTGAAGGAGAGCAGACGCACCGACAGCCCCGGGCAGGGGACCGCCTCGCTTATTCCGTCTTGGCGACATCCCTTCTTAGAAGGTGTTTGCGATGTCCGTCTTCTGGATCAGAAGTCTGAGGCACAGGTTTGTATAAGTAGTAAACTGGAGAGGTGTAGATCCAGAGCCACAGGACTTTCTGCTCCACCACGGGGCCTCCCTGAACGCGCACCCCTGACCACCACACACACCCCTGCCGTTGCCACATGAATGCGTACGTGTGTTCACGTCAAACAAAAACTCAGCAACAACAGACTGAAAAATGGCTAAAGGACTCCAACAGACATTTCTCCAAAGAAGATATAAACGTGGCCATTAACGTATGAAAAGATGCCCAGGTGTGTGAGGTCACTTCCTGTGTGCTGGGTGGTTTCCTGCAGCGTTCCTACCCTTGCTCTCTTTTTCGCTGCCTAACCGCCGCCATCATGGGTCGCATGCACGCTCCCGGGAAGGGCCTGTCCCAGTCGGCTCTGCCTTACCGCTGCAGCGTCCCCACCTGGCTGAAATTGACGTCTGACGACGTGAAGGAGCAGATCTACAAACTGGCCAAGAAGGGCCTGATTCCCTCACAAATCGGTGTGATCTTGAGAGACTCCCATGGTGTTGCACAAGTACGTTTTGTGACAGGCAATAAAATTTTGAGAATTCTTAAGTCCAAAGGACTTGCTCCTGATCTTCCTGAGGATCTTTACCATTTGATTAAGAAAGCTGTTGCTGTTCGAAAGCATCTTGAGAGGAACAGAAAGGACAAGGATGCTAAATTCCGACTGATTCTGATCGAGAGCCGTATTCACCGGTTGGCTAGATATTATAAGACTAAGCGAGTCCTCCCCCCCAATTGGAAATACGAATCATCCACAGCCTCTGCCCTGGTCGCATAAATTTGACTATGTACTCAAGCAATAAAATTATTGTCTAACTAGAAAAAAAAAAAAAGATGCCCAATATCCCTAATCCTTACAGAAATGCAAATCAAAACCACAATGAGATGTCACTCCACACTCATCAGGATCGCTATGATAAGATAAAAACAGAATAAAAACGCCAATAACAAGTGTTGGTAAGGAAACAGAAATTGGAATCCTTGAGCATTGCTGGTGAGAATGTAAAATGTGAAATTCCTACTGTGTTCAACAGTATGCTGGTTCCTCAAAAAAATTAAACAGAGAATTACCGTATGATCCAGCAATTCCACTTCCGAGAGTATCTGAAATCAGGGACTTGAACATGTATCTATACACCAGCACTCAGAGAGCACTATTCACAACAGCCAAAAGGTGGGAATGACCCAAATACCCATCCATGGATGAATGCATCAACAAAATGTGCTAGACACACCCAGTAGAATCTGAATGGAAGGAAATTCTGACATGTGCTACAACATGGGTGAACCCCGAAGACCTTCTGGGACGTGAAAGCAGCCAAACTCAAAGGCCAAGTACCGCATGACTTCATGAATAGGAGGTCCCTAGAATAGTCAGATTCACCGAAACAGCACGTATAAAGGTGGCTGCCAAGGGCTGGGGAAGGGGGCTGCAGGGAGTCAGTGTTTCCTGGGGATAGAGTTTCAGCAGTTGGGGAGGCTGACAAAATTCTGGAGATGGATGGTGGTGATGGCTGCACAACAATGGGATATACACAACGCCACTAACCTGTACACTTAAAAATGGCTAAAGGGATAAAATGTGAGGACATTTTATCAAAATAAAAAACAAATCTAGGAGTATTTCAGAACATGGTCATAGTAAGTATGGAGAGCCATAATCACAGGCCCATATATCCCTGATCAACAGGGCAACCATTCTGCTAGTAGATATACCAAGGAATTACAGTACATTTATTTTATAATTATGTCAGTTATTTTGCTTAGTTTGAGAAAAACCAGCTATTTTGTGTAATTCAAGTGAAACAGTAAATTCTATACTACAGGTCTAACTTCAGAAAATAGTCTTTTAGACAGTAATTGAGATTTTCTATAAAATTAGCATGCCATTAAATTGTATAGCTAATCAGATTTGAACATTTTAATAAACTCGTTACAGCTTTACTTGACTATAATAAATAATATGTATGTTTATAATAGGAAATTAATTTTATTGCTGGGGGTATGGTTAATGTTTAAAAAACACTGACTATGGTTTCACTTTTTTTTACTGTGGTAAAATGTATATAACCAAAAATTTATCATTTTTCCAAATAAAAAATAACTTCAAGTGAAAATAAAACAGAATATTCAACCTTTTTCCAAGATTAAAGTTTGTATTTCCATTGCACTGTATACACCTGCGTTACTTTTACTTTCATAGCAAATGAGAGCAAAAAAATGTTTTTATTTGAGTAGACACACCATGTCACATTAGTTTCAGGTGTACAACTTAGCAATTGACAAGTTGATACATGATGCTGTGCTCACCACAGGTGTAGCTCCCGTCTGTCCCATTACATCACTATTACGGTATCATTGACTGTCTTCCCTACGCTGGGGCTTTCATCCCTGTGACTTATTCATTCCATAACCGGAAGCCTGGATCTCCCGCTCCCCTTCACCCATTGCGCCCATCCCCCCACCCCCTTCCCTCTGGCAGCCATCAGTCTGTTCTCTGTATTTACGGGTCTGATTCTGCTTTGGTTTGTTCTTTTTCTTTTTTTTTTTAGATTCCATTTATGAGTGGAATCCTATGGTATTTGTCTTTCTCATTCTGACTTATTTCACTTAGCACAGTACCCTCTAGGTCCATCCATGTTGTCTCAAATGGCACGATCTCATCCTTAAAAAAAAAAATTTTTTTTTTTAAAAAAACCACCTATTTATTTATTTTTAAAGATTTTATTTATTTGACAGAGTGAGACACAGCGAGAGAGGGAACACGAGCAGAAGGAGTGGGAAAGGGAGAAGCAGGCTTCCTGCGGACCAGGGAGCCTGACGTGGGGCTCGATCCCAGGACCCTGGGATCATGACCTGAGCCGAGGGCAGATGCTTCACGACTGAGCCACTCAGGCGCCCCCCAACCACCTCTTTAAACAGGGAATGAAACCACAGGAAATGCTCCATTACAAATTACCTAAAGTCTGTTCAATGCATTTATAATTATTCTATGAACAGTCATTTTAAAGATAAACAATATCTAACAGCATTTGGCAATATTATTTTTCTCAAGTTTCTGGGCTTTGTCCAACACAAGGAAATTAATTATGTGTCAAATTGATTCCAGTCACAAAACACTCTTGAGATTTGCGACATTAGGAGTGAAATGTTTTTCATGAATGTCTTAAGCACTCAGCAACCTACTTTGGATGCAGGCCTCTGGCTCCCCTTCCTCTGTTGATCATAACCTTGACCTCCCCTCCTAAAGCAAGCCACAGCTGCCCTGGGCTTCCAGGGAATGAAGACCCAAGAATTCACAAAGTGAGGCATTAAGGAAGCTGTGGAAAAACGTGGCTTCCTGCAGAAACCAGAATTTCCACAAGGCCATCAGGCCCAAAGCCTCTTGGGCCAGAGGAGGGGAGTGAGATCATTTGACAGGGTGATGTGACAAAGTGATGTGACAGAGTCAGGGCCAGAAGAGCAGCTCCCAGCCATTTTCACTCCTTTCCGCCTTGGGCCACACGGCCTGGCAGCCCTCCTTGCCTTCTCTCAACCACACCACGGCGGCCCCAATTCCCAGGTAGCCTCCATGATTTGCTTTTTAAAGGAAGACAAATGAAAAACTATATAGCTGTAAAAAAAAAAATCATGTTGCTGAAAAATAATGTTAGGGGGAAATGGTGGTTATAGGGGTGCCTGGGTGGCTCAGTCATTAAGCGTCTGCCTTCGGCTCAGGTCATGATCCCAGGGGCCTGGGATCGAGCCCCGCATCGGGCTCCCTGCTCGGCGGGAGGCCTGCTTCTCCCTCTCCCACTCCCCCTGCTTGTGTTCCCTCTCTGTGTCTCTTTCTGTCAGATAAATAAATCTTTAAAAAAAAAGTATGGTTATACATGAAAAAGCAAGATCTAAACATATATAGAAACATCCCAAAACTGTACAAAGTATATTTATAAACACTGAGGACACTGAGAGAAATCCCTTGGCACGTTAGCAGGGGTTATTTTTCAGGTGATTATGGGTGCCCTTACTTTCTTCATACCTTTCAAGTGTTTTTCCAAGATCTCTACACAAGAATATACTACGTTTGTAGTAAGTAAAAGCAAATTAAATTTAACAGAAAAAATATCACTGGACAAATAAAGCCAACATTATCAGCATCCAGCTAGCTTATGGAAAAACAATTGTTCTGTTAACCAGAAATAATGCCATACCCTGAAGATCTTAATAGCGGAAATGTAACAAATAATTGTCAAGCCCTTTGTATTTGGTCCAGGCAGCCGCAATGGTTTGTGTTAAACTCTGACAAGAGTTAGATATTTCAGATGTAAAAATGTGTGTTTTCCTTGGCTAAGACGCATTCCCAGGAACACTGTGAGAAATGTCACAATTTTCCACGTCTGATTTGGCCAACATGTGGGAGTCATTGTCAGGAAACACAACCAAAGAGTTTGAGGTTTTCCTCAAGTTTCTATTTCTTCAAGGTCAGCAAATAGACTTTCTCCATCCTCTAACTCATTGTTCCCTTGGGTAAAGCTTCTATGGTACTAATTGGCATTAAATTCAAAGGTAGACTTAAATATCCAGCTGAAGAGAACACTCAGGGCTGAATTAACTCACACTTGGATGGGTATTCAAAAGAACTAAGCTTTTCAAATTTAGGTTTGCCAAGTGAATTCATTGCTCAAGTGTTACTTGACATATTTTGTTTGTTCATTTGCAGGCTTGCAAACTGCGTTACTGGTCGGAATGCCAACTGTCAGCACAGGCCAAACCCTGGTTCTTTTAACATCTCTTCGAAAGCATTACGTTTTAAGCACATAGAAAGGAAGAGAGTGTAAACCTTCAGCGACATAAAACTGCTCCCTCAAATTCTGATTCCCAAAAGCCCACCCATATTCATCCTGTGGACGCTCCTGGGTACTTACTAACAACTGTTTCTGGAGCCGGCTCACTTACCGTAAGGTATCACTCGTGATTGGTATGCTGATTAAATCCAATAAGGAGGTTCCTCCACCTAGTTCCCAAAAGTGAGCAATATCTTTTGGCTGAAAAAATAGGTATTTTTCATATGAAAAAAAATATTTTTTATTTTTAAATACTTCGTGAGTTCATAAGTTCATTAGCATCAGCCAGTAATAATTATGGATAAAATATTGTACTCAATAAACCTTTTCTTGGCAGTCAAAACTTTCCTCTTTCTCTATCCCATCCCTCAAAATGCGCTGAAACATCTATTCCAAAAAACAAGGATGAAACATTGACATGGTAGGTGGGGAACAAGAAGAGACTGAAAAACTGCTTCCCTTTTTATAGGACTCCTAAGCACTGGGGGATTGTAAGGGTGAGGCAGCCATGCAGCTTGGGAGTAAGAGCATCTGTTCCAGGACAACCTTCTTGGGGACTGCTAACCAAAGGCTTCTCTGCTTCCTCCCTGCTGCTCAGGAGCCTTCGTGACACCACGACTGTGTGAGGAGCTGACACAGTGCTTCCACTTGGAACTCTTAAGGAACATTAAATCTGAGAAAAACATCAATCTTCCAGAATGAATATGGAAAAGCCCAACTTGCCAACACAAAGTTTAGGAAAAAAAAAAAAATCACATGAGTTTTTATATATCTATTGCCATTAACCTGGAAGAGACAGATGGTCATTGAATTGAGTTTTAGATGAGTATATATATATTTTTGACAAATTATCATCTCATAATCACTAAAACTGTTTTGCTATTGATATTTAAATATTTGCTGTTAATATCTGAATCACTAATGTTTATGAGGGAAATAATTTTTCACTGAAAAATCTCCCTTGAGTCACAGTTTGATGAAGGGGAGTTTTTAGAGCTCTTCTCAAAAGTGAAGCTCTGAAAGCTGTTTCAAAGTTTCCAATGAAAAGCATAATCCCATTTCTATGTCTTCACTCATATAAAAATTCATGTGAGTCACAAAAATAAGGTTTTCCCACATCTCACTATATTATGTTATTTCTTTTCTTTTTAATCTCACAGTCTTAATAAACCAACCTTCATTGGTGAATCTAGCAACAGGCAGTTTTAATTCTTACACACTGTCCAATGATCAAACATTTGGACTAGATCAATCTAAAAATTTGCCTGTGGTATGGGACAAGTGGGGTATGATTGTTCTTCCATACACCTAACTCTATTTAAGAAATGACCTCTTCATGTGAGAACTCCAAATGAGGATTCTATTTCAGATTTTTTTTTAATCCTTCTAAAATACGTCATAAACTCTCCTGTCCTGAATAACCTCCAACTTTCCTCTAAGTAGACACTCGAACAAGTGAAAATAGGATTATAACCAATTATGGCCTCCGGTCTCAAATAATATTACTAACTTCAAGATATATTTATAAAAATGCTAATAATTTGGATCTTGAATAGTATATTTTCAAAAATATTCTACAGGTCAAACTCATATTTTCAGCAGATATTTGGGGGAGACAGGATGTAACAATATTATTCCTACTTGAAAGAAGAAAAAGTCACATTAACACAATTAATATGTCCAAAAACTGTACAAAAAAGTTACAAAGGAAACTTATTCCAGCATTTTAAGGTACAACCAACAAAAAGGCTAAATTATTTTCACAGTTTGGGTTGGCTTCGCATCTGCTAAGGTGCATTTGAAGTTTAAAAGCACATAGCTATGAAGTGTACAGCTGGATATTTTTATTGATTATAGACAAAACGAAAATATAAGACAAAATTGGCATTATTACTTCTCCATCCACAGGCATAGCAATATCACTTAAAAAGACACTCACTACATTATGCCCTTTTGCTCTTCTTCCGTATGTATATTCCAAAGCTAAGGTTGGTTTTGGTGGCTCATCCCTGCACAATAAAGACAGATAGTATTACCATCACGGGTTTTCTTATGCTATCATATTACCCAATTCATTTTTGCTTCCTCTTAAAAACTTGTTCTATTAGTAGGGAAGTTACTTTGTGGAATCACACTGAGGTAACACTAATAAAAATTTTATATAAAAAATAAGCCTTCACAAAACCACCTTCGAGGATTTTAGTCACAGCTGCAGAGATGACTAATGGCACATGTGTGATGCGGTAGCCCTCACAGGCACTGGCAGGGTGAGTGGAGAAGGTAGTGTGGCTGCCAGGGGTGGGCGCCGTGTCAGGGCACAGCTCTCAGCGTTCAGGTCACGTGGGAAGCTCTGTTATCAGGTTTGTGCTTGGCCCTGATGTGGGGAGCTGGGAATCTAATGATTATTGATTCAGTGGAGACATCAACGGAAGACTTGAATATAATTCTCTATCTTAACTCATGGCTCAAACAATGGGCATCATTTAAAATAATGAGAGCTGCAAACTAACAAATTACATCAACAAGTCTTAAAAATGGACAAATGATTTGATGAATTATTGACACTGCAGTTATACTGCTTGGTAAGCAGTTTTATGCTATATATCTACTTATTTATTTCATTTTTTATTGTAGTGAAAAACATGTAACATAAATTTACTTCTTAACCATTTTTAAGTGTACAGTTCAGTAATGTTAAGTATATGCACACTGCTGGGCGCCTGGGTGGCTCAGTCGTTAAGCGTCTGCCTTCGGCTCAGGTCATGATCCCAGAGTCCTGGGATCGAGCCCCACATCGGGCTCCCTGCTCCACGGAAAGCCTGCTTCTCCCTCTCCCACTCCCCCTGCTTGTGTTCCCTCTCTCGCTGTGTCTCTCTCTGTCAAATAAATAAATAAAATCTTTAAAGAAAAAAAGGTATATTCACACTGCTGCACAAACTCTAGAACTTCTTCATCTTGCAAAACTGAAACTCTATACCCATTAAACAATAACTATTTTCCCCCTCCCTCCAGACCCTGGCAAACAGCATTCTACCTTCTGTTTCTGTGAATCTGACTGCTCTGAGATACCTCATACAAGTGGAATCACAGTATTTGTCTTTTTGTGACTGACTTATTTCACTTAGCGTAATGTCCTCAAGGTTTATCAATGTTGTAGCATGCATCAGAATTTTCTTCCTTTTTAAGGCTGAACAGTATTGGTATATATCTTTTTGAATTTGGAGAACAAAGAGAAATCATTTTTAAATTTGCAATTTATATATTTATCTTTATTAAATATTTTGCATGTCATCCCTACAAATATCTTTTTTTGATACATATATAGTAAAATATTTGGTTGTATTTCCTAAAAGATACTAATTTTTTGTGAAAAGAAATGCTACTTTTAAGACAAAATTTATAAGCTCTGATATTTAACATACAATAGACAGAACTGTCTTTTTTCTAAGTAGACTGTCAAGGAACTGAAATTCATTTCAGTGTCATATTTCATCCTAAGCTGATACTGTGTTAGATGACTTATTTGTAGAATGAAACACATATGATCTAAAAAGAGCCATGATTCCTAGGGATGGAAAGATGATGCAGGTGTGACTATAGACGGTTCTTCTAAGAAACCATTTTGTTGGTGAAAGGAATTACACAAAGTAGTGATTTTATTATTTGAATTCTTTAATAGTACTTTTCAAAATGGATGATGATTCTTTAATGTGACCTTGAGACAAAATTCCATCTATGTTGATGTTTTTGGAGAAGTTATAAGAAACAGGTATTGGAATGAAGGGATATCTTCCTTTTTTTTTTTTTTTTAAGATTTTATTTATTTATTTGACAGAGAGAGACACAGCAAGAGAGGGAACACAAGCAGGGGGAGAGGGAGAAGCAGGCTCCCGCAGAACAGGGAGCCCGATGCGGGGCTCGATCCCCTGACCCTGGGATCATGACCTGAGCCTAAGGCAGACGCTTAAATGACTGAGACACCCAGGTGCCCCTGAAGGGATATCTTCCAAAATCAGTTAAAGACTTTCAGTTTCCTTCAATGTCCACTGATCATAATCCCAAATCTTACTCTGATGGCCATATAGAAGGTTAGGAAGTATAACAAATGGTAAAAAATACAGTTTGAAGACGAATATTGTGCTTCAAAAATGTTTCCATGAGCAATTTAAAGATAATTAATGTTCAGATAATCACAGACTAGGTAAAATAATAAATTAAATATCAGAGTAGCACAGCCAAAAAGCAGGTAAGTAGTATCATAGTTATGTTCCTTTCTTCCCCAAATAGGAAAATTCCACACTAATTCTGTATATATACATACATATACACACACACACATATATATATTTATATATACAAAAAATATATATATATATATTTATATTTTACTTACTGTTGTTTTTGTCTTTAAAGAAGATCTTAAAGGCCATACTAAGGATTCACTAAGAATTAAGTTATTGTTTGGGCCTCAAAATTGTTCTCCTTCCATATGTCTTTTAGAATCTAACTTGCCCTGTACAACTAGAATAAACAGAAAATGTAGTCTAAAGGTTAACATAACACTTACCTGTCAAGACACCTTAGAATAATAGTAGTCTTTCCCTGGAAATTAAAAAAAGAAAGAATACTGTGTTAATGTCATCCACATGTAAAATTTTGTTATTGTTCATAATTGTGGCCAAAAATAGATTTTAATCACTTGAATGATAAATTACCTGGAAACTAGAAACTTTCAGAATTGTTCCTAAGTTTGATAAGTGGAAAAAGTTAACTGTCAACTTTCCATCATAGTGTAACTACACTGCTATTATTATAATTACAAAGTCCTGCAGATGACAAATACTAGCAAATCATACCTCACTTTAGTGGTCAACTTGGCAGCTGTCTGAGATTTTCTCTCTATTCATTAATGCTAATTACTGGTTAAGCAGATGATTAGTGTCTTCCAAAATGTTTTAATTCCAATTGTTGAAGTGGAAATAAAGAAGAAAGATAACATACAAATAAAGGACACGCTGCAAATATGTTCAAAGTAAGCAATCCAGATACTGGGTTAGAGTTAACCCAGAGAATAAACTTATTCTAAGTTTCTTGTTAGGAGTCAGAAAATATAGGTTCTGGTCATCTCTGCCACTAATCATGAAACTTAACTTCACATCTTAGGGATTAGCTCAGTGGCTTAATCACTGATTTCTTTTTAATAGTAAAACTTAAAAAAAAAAAATCTCCTACAAGAAAAGAGATACAAGAGAAGCAGCACGGGAAGCTCTAATGGAAGAAGTCTTTAGGTAGGTTCCAAGGAAAATGGTTCGGAAAATACTGGACTGACAAAAACATAGAACATTTGACTAGATATGTTTTTTTCCTAAACACCTGTAATTTTTTTTACCAAAAAAAAGATGATCACAAATAAATTACTCTAGATTATATCTGGGATATGATCAAGTTGAATGACTTTTTTATAATGGGAAACATAAATAAATAATTGAAATAGGACCAAAAATGTAAATTTTTGAGGGATGTTTATTGGCAGGTATTACATCAAAGTGAAAGACTAGAAACCACCTAAATGTCCCCAAATAGGAGACTGGTTAAATTATGACAATCTTTTAATGGAGTAACATGCAGCTATTAGGAATGATGATATAGGAACATACTTACTGACATGGTAAAACATTTATAACAGATTAGCATAACCCTGTTTTCAATTTTTAAAATATCTTGGGGCACCTGGGTGGCTCAGCCATTATGCGTCTGCCTTCGGCTCAGGTCATGATCCCAGGGTCCTGGGATCGAGCCCCACGTCGGGCTCCCCCACTCTGCGGGAGGCCTGCTTCTCCCTCTCCCACTCCCCCTGCTTGTGTTCCCTTTCTCGCTGTGTCTCTCTCTGTCAAATTGAAATGCTAAAAGAAAAAAAAATATATAAAAAAAAATAAAATATATTTTCCTGCTTCTTTGAGATCTACATACATACATACACATACCCATAAATAGATTCAGAGAGAGGCAGAGAAACACATACACAAAAGTAAACAGATCCAGAGGGATATCACGAAGCCAACAGTGAATGTTTCTAGGTGATGGATTTGCTGGTTATTTATTTATTTATTTTTAAAGATTTTATTTATTTATTTGAGAGAGAGAACATGAGCAGGGGCAAAGGGCAGAGGGAGAAGCAGACTCCCCATTGAGCAGGGAGCCCACCGTGTGCTCGATTCCAGGATCATGACTTGAGCCAAAGGCAGACGCTACGTCATTCCCCTACTTCATCTCATCACGTGGGCATTTTATCATCCCAGATCATCACAAGAAGGGTGAGTACAGTACAATAAGATATTTTGAGTGAGAGAAAGACCACATTCAACTTGTATTATATTGTTGTAATTGTTCTATTTGTAGTTATTATTGTTAATCTCTTACTATGCCTAATTCATAAATTAAATTTTATCATAGGTATACGATGTCAGTACTATCTGCAGTTTCAGATATCCACTGGGGGGGGTCTTGGAACATATCCCTTGCAGACAGGGGGAGACTACTGTACCTAAAAAGTAAGAAAGCATAGAATCAGAATGAATGTATTTTAGAACTGGAAGGAATCTTAGATATAATTAGCCAATTTTCTCAAATTCTCATGGTTCTATAGTGTTGATTTAAATTCTGATTGTAATTTCATGTAAATGTATAGTACTACTTGGTGTAGTACTACTATTTGGCAATTCCAAATAAACAAACTCAACTCGGCACTGAAATAAACTTTCAGACTATCATTAAAATACAATCCAAATTTTTAAAAATCACTAGTGAACTATTGCCCCCTGCGAGTGGATCCACAGACTCCTAGTTTTCCTGGTTCAATAAACACTGACCTAATACAAGTTCACTCAGAGACTATCAGAATGACAGTCTATCAGAATGAATCCTATCTTTCCTCCCATTACCTCAGTGACATTGGAAGTCTTTTTCTCTGACCCGTTATCCCTGGAGCTCTTAAGTCCATAATCCTCTATGCATCCCTTCCCTTCTTCCAAAATCCTTCCACTCTATAGCTCCAGCTCCATGATTAGCAAACTCCCCAGTAACCTCAACTTCTTCTTCAGAATGTTCTCTCCATCTGTTGGCCTTACCTAAAATATGGTTGCCTCCGGACCACTTCCTCTGCAATCTTGTTAAAGAAGGCTAGTCTTTTCTACCACCCCATGTACTTCAGGGCTCTCCTTGCTCCCCAATGCCACTTTATTTATTTATTTTTAAAGATTTTATTTATTTATTCATGAGACACAGAGAGAGAGAGAGAGAAGCCCAGGGAGAAGCAGGCTCCCCACTGAGCAGGGAGCCCGATGCGGGACTCGATCCCAGGACCTTGGGATCATGACCTGAGCCGAAGGCAGACGCTTAACCATCTGAGCCACCCAGGCGCCCACCTTAATTATTTTTTTAAAGATTTATTTATTTGAGAGAGAGAGAGAGAGAAAGAGAGAGAGAGAGAAAGAGAGACAGGGAGGGTGAGCGTGAGTGGGCGGAGGGGCAGAGGGAGAGAATCCTCAGGCAGACTCCCCCGAGCACGGAACCGACACAGGATCCATCCCACAACCCATGAGATCATGACCTGAGCTGAAACCAAGAGTCGGATGTCCAACTGCCTGAGCCACCCACGTGCCCCTCACCCCCGCCACCTTTAAATAATTATTCTACTTCCCTCCTTTTGCAAAAGCCTTAGAGGCTTGTCCCAGTCTACTGTGATGGTTGTTGGCCATCTCCTCTAGCTCACAGTCTCCCTTTCTCTCTCAGCTACTGTCATTAGTCTTGTTAACTTCACACCCACGTAGGCATGGGCAACCTACCTAACACACTGACCTCTCAGTGCCTTTGCCTCCTCACAGAGACACTTTCCTTCACTCTACTTCTACCATACATCACTTCCAAGGTTACATCTTGAATCATTTCACCCCCGGAAACTACACTACTTCCAAAATCACACATGCAAACACATTCTCCAACTACTTCTTCAGGAACACTCTGTGTTACCCACAGTAACAACTCTTTGGCCTTAGTAAAAGGCCTCAAAAGTCCATTGACTCGTCAACTTTTCTCCTTCTCCATCAGCTCCCTCCTACCTCCACATCTCTCCTTTTCCATCTTGCAGTCCATAGTTTATCATTACAATTACCTTTTTTTTAAAAGATTTTATTTATTTATTTGAGACAGAGAGAATGAGAGACAGAGAGCACGAGAGGGAAGAGGGTCAGAGGGAGAAGCAGACTCCCCGCCGAGCAGGAAGCCCGATGCAGGACTCGATCCCGGGACTCCAGGATCATGATCCGAGCCGAAGGCAGTCGCCCAACCGACTGAGCCACCCAGGCGCCCTTGCAAGTACCACCCCCTCCCTAAGCTTTCTAGCTCTGTACTGCGCCCACTTGGCAAAAACCAACCCTGGTAAACTCGATCACCTCCCTTCTCCTCCATGCTTGTACCCGTGCGAGTGAGTGATGACAGAGAGAAATTATACATGCTGTGCAGAATGGTGTCACCTAAATTCTTAATCGCCATCATCAAAACGGCAGACAGCAGTGACGGGCAATCCTGTCACATTTGTCTAGTATGTTCTCTCTCCCATGTGTTGTAACTGCTATTTCATACATTTTTCTTGATTCTCTCCTCAGAATACCCACTTGACCCTCTTCACCTGAATTACTCTCTTTCCTTACTTCCTGCTCTTCAAGCTCTGGACATCAGCCTCTCTTAAGGAGGCTTTCCCAGTCTTCCAGCCTCTTGGGCTGAGTTAAGACCCCTTGTTTCCATCACAGCATTTGTTTTCTGCGATGTTGTACAAGCACTAACACCTAAGTTCCTGCACAGCAGAGTACATGTCTTTCATTTCTGTTTCCCCAGAGTTGGGCACACAGAAGATGTTCAACAGATGTCTACTGAATGGATGAATAGAAGTATGGGAAAGAGAGAGAGAAGGCAGTGAGGCAGTTGTTTCTTTGGTAAAGGGTGATTACTATTAGCTGAACAATAGAAGCATTAATTGCTTGCTTCTCTTTATTTTTCAAATATCGTTCTGCACAAAGCACAGAATCAGATACTTTAAAGAACAATATCCTCAAAGGTTCCACCTATGTCAAAAGAGTTTGCCAATCTTCGAAAGCAAAATTAGTTTTGATTTACATAAATGAAAATACCCAGCTTGAATATGCCACATTCTACTATTTAAAAAAAAGGGTGGCTTCACAAACAACAAATAAAACACGAATGGGCTCTCACAACAACAAAGTCTAGAACAACTGTTACAGAGAGTGACTAGTGGGGGTGCTGGTGGGACATTTCAGGTGTGAGCATTTGTGTGCTGGTGTCAGTAACTAGTACTATTAGGATAAGCCACCTTAAAGATATGGAAGTAGCTTCTTCTCTGTACAGAATATTTTCTGTAATAGGAATTTACTTGTACCGTAAGACTATTAATAGTTATTTACTCATTTTTTTTAAATCCATGTATGTATCTATATGGCAGCAAGTAGGAAATTGGAAAAGTACTGTATCCAATGCAGAAATCACTCTCCTCACAAGAGTAAACTCATGAAACCACATAAATTCCAAGA